GTAGAGACCCTAGGTACTATTAGCCAGCTCAAGAGCTATTTCTAAATCCATACTGAAGAATTTCATAGTCTGTTCCTCCTAATTTACTAAGCACCGCATTAGTTGCAAGTGGCACTGTCTATAACAAACACTCCTTTACGCAGTTTATCGTCAGTTAGAAACATGTGTTGGCCATTGTGTGTAGTGGTGTATGTGATTTCTCTTTCTAATTTGCTGTCTTCCACTAGAGGGCAGTTGATAAAGAGAGAGTGCTATGCTGACCTGGCTAAAGGTGAGACCGAAGTTAATTTGATGCTAATTACTTTGATTCAAATTTCCTCCCTAACCAGATGTAGGCTCTTTCAACAATCTACTACTGTATTGTACACAGGGAATGCGTCTGATAATTAAACATTTCCCCCTAGAAAATCCATCCTCATTCTTTATCTGAGTTTGATACTGTACAATTATAACACCTTCAAAAGATGAGTCTGGGAGCTTAAATTCATAACTCTGCTAATCATGGACTCAGTAGAAACACTGGTTTTATGTCTCATTACAATATATAACCCACTAATTTTCCTTTGTCTTCTGATTGCAGAGGTGTTAATTGTCCACTTCATTTTGAATGGTTTCTTGCAACACGTGCTTATGCTTAACTATCTGTTTCACCTTGTATTTAGCTGTGACACTCTGATTTCCTTTCCCAGTTTAGTCCTAGACTTGAAGGAGAGCTCTGTAGAGCTTGAAAGCTTGTTTCCTTCACCAACAGAAGTTGATTCAATAAAGGATATTATGTCACACACCTTTTCTATATAATATCCTGGGACTAACACCGCTACAACAACATTGCACAATTAGTCATTTGTGTTTCTGGATTAGTTAAAGGCTAAAGTCTAAAATCCAATAATACCTCAGAAAGATGTATTTACACTGAACTCCATTCAATACAGACTTGGCACATTTTCTGTAGTTTAAGGTGGAAAAAAATGAAATGAACTGTTCACACAGAATTCAGCATTCCTCCTTTCATAGCATGAATCCATTTTGCTGCCCAAACAGTAAAAAACCTATGACAAGAGACTGCTATGGAATCAGCATGTAAAAATACATGACATGATGGTACAATATTTGATGAGGAAATGCGGGGTAATCGTAAGTGATTTAACCACAGTTAAGTTATCCTGCCTTTCCTCACGAGTAAAGGTAAATGCCATGAAAGATCAGCTGCTATGTATTCTCTAGGTAATGGACTCAATATCAATCTGTCCCCACACTTTTCACACCCTGTGATGGTGTGGTGTATTTTTGTTGTCATGAGTATAGAATGTTTATATTAATCACTGAAGGCAGAGCCAAGAGGGAGTTATGCCAATCTTTCCAAGCAAGTGGAAATAAACCTAGCAACATCACATAGTTTGCTTGTGCGATTTAGAGTCAGTCTAATCTTTTTTTTTTGTTCTTCATTTTGTCATTTTCATAAATCCCTTCTGCTTTCTTCTCCTTTTGAAATATGCTCTTCATTACTATGAGCTCACGCCTACAGACCTTATTCGGTCAAAACCCCGATTGAGGCCCATGGGAATCTTGTTGAAATAATAACAGATGCAGTTTCTATGGAAATAGATATGACATTAGTATGGGTGGAGATTAGCGGGGTCCATAACTGAAGTATACATTATGTATATTTTAATTCTATGAAACCCTCTCCCCCCACCCAAACTTCATTTACATGGGAGTAGGCCTCATCTTCCCTGCTAAAAAAGGTGTGTTTTTTACCTCATGGTAAAACTGAAGTGCCATGTCTTCACTGGGTTTTTATCTTGGGATAGTTCATGCACGTTAGTTATCCTGAGGTAAAAGATGTACCATTTTTAGCAGTGAAGACGAGGCCTCAGTGTGAAATCCCCTCAGCACAAGCCCTAGATAACAAGGGAAGAGCAAGTTATGGGCACTTCTTAGCCCTACCATAGTACCGAAAGAGCATGTTTCCACTGACAGACTGCACTTACCTTCCCCCTATCTCCAGCTGCTAAGAAAACTTTACACACTGCATTAATCTCCCTCTGAATATAACACAAAACCCTTATTTACGACCTCATATTTCCCTCAAAAAGGCATAGCACATGGCACACTTAACCTGTGTGCATGTCACCCCTGAATGTGTGCTGATGTTGCCAAAGTTGTAATGAAGGCTTTGCATTGTCCCGTGAGGGAGATTGTTGTGTTGAGGCATCCCGTCACTTGTTCTTTGCTCTTCAGTGTTTGCCTTGGGGGATGTCACACTTAACCAGCCTTAATCCCCTTCACCTAAGCACAGCTAGTATAGGATGGTTATGGAAAAACATGCAAAGGGGTGGGGGCAGAGATGTTGTCCTTTCTATGGCCTGTGGGGATATGGAGAGAGCAGGTATGGTTGAAGTGGGGAAGGGGAGAGGAAGAGGGGTTGGGTGGCTAACTGTGTGTATGTGTATGGAGGCCAGTTTGTCAATCCAGCAGCACAGTGTCTACATACCTGGGGTATGGGGCTCCTGTCAAGTGCCACAGCTCCTGAGAACAGAGGAGCCTCTGCCAAAGCTGCAGAGCTTCAGAGGCTGGAGAACCCCCGAGCACTAGAACTTGTAAGTGTCTCTCTTGCAGGCACCTCTGCTGCTGCTCCACAACTGAGCTGAGGTTCATGGGATTGACAGTTTCCTTACTAGTCTATGAAGTATAGACTGTGGCTCTCTTCTTTGCTAGCGGTGGCCTCACTCTCACAGAGCAAGCAGAGCTCTTAAATGTACTGCATTTCAGCTGAGTCTTGCTTCCAGTTTTGGCTAAGCAGGAGAGGGCAATATCCCCAGCAAACTACCTTGTATCTTAGTGGACGTTGTCCTGGGCTGGAATGCAGGAGATCACAAGTTCAAATTTCATCTCTTCTACTCCCTGCTTTTTATATTTCTATTAACTTTACTACAGAAGCTGAGCAGTACCTTACACCCCTACCTTAGGAAGCAGCCACCCAATTTTACTAGTAAGTTAACAGAGAGGTTTTATAAAATCATTTCTAGCTCCATCCCCTCAAGCATCAGAAGGGATCCACCAAACCTATACGCTTGGCTATGTGTCTAACCACTAGGCAACACTCCCTTTCCAGAGAGTTGGCTAGAGAACAAACCCTATTAATTACCCATATGAGGGGTATTTATGTTTGAACATAGTAGAACTCCTACTTTCCAGTATTTTTAATGGCTTAATTCACAGTGAAGAAATATTTTTAAAAACAGCTTTTGATTTAGTCATCTTGAAAACAAAGGGAAACAGGGCAGCCATCTTTGCAAGGAGTATCTATTCCCCAAGTAGTAGAGAGGCCATTTTTACTGGAGGTCTGAGCACCTGCAATCCTATTAGGTAGCTTTAACCCCTCATAAATTTTGGCCATTTTAAGTAAGGAGAAATTTTGAATAAAGTATGAAAGAAGGAAAAAACAGACTCTACTAAATTGCAACCCAATTTTTAAAGGGTACATTCTGACAGTGTATTTTAGCTGTATGAAAATTCTGAATGAACATAAAACCAGTCACTAGTCAGTTGGGTACTATGATCTGTTTAAAGTTAAGTCTAGGTTCTTAAAAAATGTCTGCTGTTACATGTAAGAAAACTTTGTCTGACTTTTTGACCTAAAGACTCTAGGTAAAAATAATTCCTAGTATCAGCAGGCCTGCTGAAAGCAATTCTGGGCCCCAGGGCAGAACAGTCAACAGGCCCCCACGCACACATAAGTTGCGGACGCGATCTGCCTGACATTTGGGCGATGCTGCGCCTGCGCTGGCTGGTGCCCAGCGAGCTGCTGGCCGCAGTCTTCTGGCACAGCCAGGGGTTCCACATGCCTGCCTGGTAGGGTTGCCAACTGTCTAATTGCGCAAATCCAAAGACCCTTGTCCCACCCCTTCCCTCAGACCACGTCCTTGTACCACCCCTTCTCCGAGGCCCCTCCCCCTGCTCACATCATCACCCCTCCCTCCATCGATCACTCTCCCCCACCCTCACTCACTTTCACCAGGCTGGAGCAGGGAGTTTGGGTGCGGGAGGGTGTGCAGGGTGTAGGCTCTGAGAGGGAGTTTGGGTGCAGGAGTGGGTGCGGGCTCTGGGAGGGGGTTTGGGTGCAGGGGGCGGGCTCTAGGTTGGGGCGGGGGGTTGTGGTGCAGGAAAGGGTCAGGGGGTGGGTGCTTACCTTGGGCAGCTCCTGAAAGCAACCAGCACACCCCTCTGGTAGTGGCTCCTAGGCAGGGGGCCCAGAGGGTCTCATGCACTGCGGCCCGCAGGCACTGCCCCTGCAGCTCCCACTGGCTGCAGTTCCCGACCAAAGGGAGCTGTGAAGTCAGCGCTCAGAGTGGGGGCAGTGTGCAGAGTGAGGGCAGGCAGGAAGCTTGCCTTAGTCCTGCTGCGCTGCCGGTGGCAGCGGCCAGGGCCCCCCGGGTCCTTTTAAATTGCCTGGGCCCCTGGGCAATTGCCCCTTTTGCTCCCCCCCCACCCTGTTGGTGGGCCTGAGTATCAGATAACTTTTTGTTTGCACATTACTTAAAAGACTGCTTTGAGTCTAATTGTTTCTGTGGGTTAGAATAACTGAAATTATGGTATGTTATTGTGAAAGAAATAAAATGACAGTTATAAGTAGTTGGCAATGTCTGTTATCCGTGTAGGGTACGATGCTAGTTATGACAGAAAGGCCTTAGGCTTACAAGGATCTGAATGGGCAGATTCAGTTACAGGAACTGGCTATAAGTTGTTATTAGTGATTTCGGCTTCAGGAAGCACTGCACCCACAATTAGGGCTGGCCTTTCCAAAGAGTTTGATAATGTTTGTTGTTCTCAGTGGGAGCTATTGGATTCTGAACTGTTTTGAAAATCTGCCCTATAACTCATAGCCGCATAGAGTTCAAGAAATCTGTTTCTATACACAAGCATGATAGGGTGTGGTAGCACTGGTGTGTCTTTGGTACCCAAAGGGTTAACTCCAGCGTGGCTTTCTCCTTGTACAGGTGCTCAGAGGAAGTGCCACAAGAGGGACTGCTGGAGTGACAGAAGAGGAGACTACTTCTAAGAAGCCAAAGCACCATACCCAAGTGCTGAGTCAATTTCAGGTGGGGGAATCTCCTTATGTTTTATGTTGGTAATTTATTTTCGTTCGTGGTGAAGTCAGATGGACTCTGTGTGTGTGCACGTGTGCAGGGGTCTGCCCATATGGAGCTCATTAGAAAGCTGGGGTCTTAATCTGTGTTCTTCCAGAGTTTTTAAAAAGAAGAGAGATTTTCTCCTCATGAGAGTTATAGGCTTTGCAAGAAAGTCTGTTGCTTTTTCAAGATGGCTCAGGACTAGTCTCAGGAGATGTATGATCAACTACCTTACAATCACTATAGGTGCTTTTAGGAAATTTAATGCAAGAGTAAATGTATATAGTAAACATTCTTTCAAAGTCAGCCAATACTAAAACTAAATATGCAATCCTAATTCTACCCATTGTTCATAATCTTTGAAGTTTGATAGTTTTTATGCAACCATTCACTAATTTTTAAACACGGTAAACCAAAATGTAATTTTATGACTCATTTGAAGACAATGCAAGCTAGATGTGCTGAGCCCCTCACAGGAGCAGGCCCTATAAAAATATAACATTTAGGGTTCAGTGGCTAATGTAATTGGGTGGCTGTGTATAATGCTGCACAACTGTGAGTTATTTGTAGGGAATTGTGGTTACTAATATCAAAGTACCAATTTCCCTCCAGTTAGTCCTGCTTTCATTTCGGTTCAAATGCTAGATTAATGGAATTGCTCCTGGGTAAAGCAACTGTACAATTCTTGCAGTTGCAGAAAATCATGGTCATAAATACAGTCCCGTTTGGTAGCTGATTTGCTAGCCTATTACATTAATTAGCTAGGTTTATCACATTAAACAGACTTGGTATACATCAGTAATGGGATAGTGCTAGTAATATTGTCAGAGGTCTCCTTTCCCTCTATCTCCCATAGGTACTACTGGGTACATCTACACAGTGAGCAGCAGTGTGTCTCAGGGCAGGTCTTCACTACGAGGGGGGTCGATTTAAGATACGCAAATTCAGCTACGCGAATAGCGTAGCTGAATTCGACGTATTGGAGCCGACTTACCCCGCTGTGAGGACGGCGGCAAAATTGACCTCCGCGGCTCCCCGTCGATGGCGCTTACTTCCACCTCCGCTGGTGGAGTAAGAGCGTCGATTCGGGGATCGATTGTCGCGTCCCGACGAGACGCGATAATTCGATCCCCGAGAGATCGATTTCTACCCGCTGATTCAGGCGGGTAGTGTAGACCTAGCCTCAGACTCAGGGTCAACAGAATTAGTCTTGTGAGGCTGAACTATGGGGCTAAAAAGAGCTATATGGATGCTGTTGCTCTCTAGGCATCAGTATCCAAGTCACAATGTCTACACAGCTGTATTTAGCACCATAATCCAAGTCTGTCTGCCCAGGGTCTGAGACGTGCTGCAGCTCACTGTGTAGACATACCCAGCATTGCCACAGTATCTGAGCACCTCACAATATTTGATGTATTTACCCTCACAACACCCCTGTGAGTTAGGGAAGTGCTGTTATCCCCAGTTTACAGATGAGAAGCTGCAGTATGGAGGTTAAGTGATTTAAGAAGTCTGATAGAGCACAGGATTGAACCTGGGTCTTTCAAGGTTGAGGCTGGCACCCTAACCACTGGACAAACCTTCCTCTTTGAGCCAGCTGTTGGTAGTGTGGTCTCTGTTGTTAGCTCTACCTTTTCCTCTAATTCTGACTCCTTCACCGCCCTTCCTCACACTTGCTATTTGTTCTCCTTCACTCAGTGCTTAATTTGTGCCAGGGCTGAGCCCTGAAACTTCTAGGCTTGGCAGTTCCTAGCCCTGACATCTCTGAGCTTGCTGCACGAGTTATGAATGTAAAAAATTGCTTGAGCCCCGGCACCTCTTTCATTACAAATTAAGTACTGCCTTCACTGCTGCTGAGTTCCTTGGGAGACTGTCTGGGGGACTATCTTACTTGTTTCACTCTAAATTGATCTCTCAGCTCTGCTGTCCTTCTGAACATGCACTTTCCTGACCAGCTCTTGTTCTTGTAAAGCCCCCTGACTCTTCCATTCTCAGCAAGATTCTGGGCAGTAGAGAACTTCTTTAATAATGAATTTATAAGTCTTCCTCTTTCAATAATCGCACAATCCTTTCCTTTTTCTTATTAAAAATAAATCAACTCTATAAACAAAGTTACAATGAATTAAACAGTACATTTGAGGTTCTGTTAGCATCTGGCTAGTGAAGATCCACTTTCCAGAAGGATCAAAGTCTCTTTCTCCCCAAACCTGTACTTCCTTTTCTTCACAAATCACGTAGCCTTATTTAAAAATGTCCCTCTCTAGTCATCTTCTGAGTCAAATTGTATTGTTTATCCAGGAACTATTCAGTGGGCAGTAACTCCCTGCTCATGTGTGGTTCTGAGGGGAAGGTCTAATTTGAGAGGAAGCCCAATTTAGAACACAATTAAAAATGAAACATAAACCTATTAACAATGCTAATTAAGACTCAAAGCAAAGCTCACTAGCCATTTATTACAGGTTGCCTGCTTGCTAGTTCATGTCCTCTTTCAGCGCATAGCAATTAAAGGATATTAATATTTAGCCTCTTCATGCTAGTGAAATTTAAACAGCATGCAATTATCTCTGGCAATTTAAATATTAAATATTCTATTGAAATCCTGCAATTTCAGGCTGAAGATACATAAGGGTATCCCCTTCTGTATGTTCTCATAATTACAGCAACAGGCAACATACTGTAGATACTTGCTTCAAAAAAAGTTATAAGGGCAACACTCGATATTAAGTTATCCTGCATGCAGGGCCGGCTCTAGGCACCAGCAAACCAAGCACATGCTTGGGGCGGCAGATTTTCAGGGGTGGCATTCCGGCCATCTTTTTTTTTTGCTTTGGGTGGCAAAAGCCTAGAGCCAGCCTTGGCGGCAGCAGCAGCACATCATGCGTGGGGGATGCCCTGGGGCCACTGCAGTTCGCGCCATGGGAGAGCAGCGCCCGCACCTTGTGGCTGGGCCAGGCAGGCTCTGAGCGGGGGACACTTGGGCTGGGGGCTGCCCCGCGGGGCACAGGGAGCCGCCTGCAGATGCCGCAGGGCGGCCGCCCCCCAGCACCGCAGCCGGGGTTGGGCGAAGCGGCCCAAGCTGCCCAGGGACTGTGGCAGGGCGGCCAGAAGCAGCAGCAGCAGCAGGGCCATAGAGGGCAAGGCGCTGCCGTGCGGGGCCTGCTTCCCGCTCTCCAGGGCTCCGCTCCCTCT